CAGCATTCGCAGCAGCCGGTTCTGAAATTAACTGAACACACGGCTGCCGTCAAAGCCATTGCTTGGTCACCCCATCAAAGCAACCTTGTCCCATCCGGGGGCAGAACTGCGGATAGTTGTATCCGGTTCTGGAACACGACTAATGGTCATCAATTGAACAACATAGACACAAGGAGCCAAGTATGCAATCTATCATGGAGCAAGAATGTGAATGACTTGGTTAGCACACATGGATATTCTCAAAACCAAGTCATGGTGTGGAAGTATCCATCGATGGCAAAGGTCGACACTAACCGGACATAGACTTCGAGTCCTGTACCTTGCCATGTCGCCCGACGGAAAGGTAACGGGTCCTCTACTCTCGTAGATCTCGAAAGGATTCATCGAATAAAAATCGAATTAACCGGTTCGTCTTTGCAGACCTGGTGCAGGAGATGAGACTTAGAGGTTTTGGAATGTCTTCTCTTCTGTGAATTCACAAGTAAGCATCACTAAAACACAACAATTCATGATTTTTTTAGCTTTGTTCTTAAGGTTCAATTCTTAACAATAATTCACTTATTTTTGTCCTTTTTTCAGACACCAGTTAAAGATACTGGACTCGTGTCTTTAGGACGAACCTACATAACATGACAGCCTTTTTTTTTAAAAAAAAAATCGTGCGTAAATGACACTTCTGTAGAACCAAACAAAGGGAATTCCTTGTTTTGTTTTTCACTCTTTTGTCAGTGAAAAGCAGAGCAAAAGTAAAAATAGATTATTGAAAAGATATGATTTTATTGGTCGATAGGAAAGATATTGTTGCCAAAGAGTATCTTTTCTGGATTTTGAGTATCTATTTTGTATCGTCAAACAAAAGTAATGATTCTTTTTTATAATTTACGCAATACATGTTAAAATACGAACAAGAATCGAGTCGGACAACGATGATATGTGTGTAAGAATATTGTTGAAAGATCATATTTAAATATTTAAAAAATAATAATTTGATCACATCAATCAAATTTATTTATATTATCAATTTATGATTTTCCGTTATTAATGTCAAAAGTCATTATAAAATATATTGTTCAATATTTAAAATGTTTAAGATTGTAACTTTAATCTTCCTTTCTTTATAAAAGAAATGTTAATATAAACTGAGGAGTGATTAATCACCAATAATAACTCTTTGTTGATTTAAAAAATAAACGATATCATTAACGAGGTTGGTTCAAGTGGTAAGTAGTTTGATATTAGCTTAAGCAAGGTCTTAGGTTTGAGTTTTTTTGTATACAGAAAATTTCCGTTAGGAGACTCACCCACTAAAATCAGTTGTACGACCCGAGTCGGTTCAAATTATAGGACTAAACCTTATAATTGGAGTTAAAAAAAAATGAACGATCTCGACTGATATAAACAATTTGTCACCGTCAACAAAGTTCAATTTTAAACTATAAATCATAATACGGACTTAATCACTCTCTTTATAAAGTTACAAACTTTAAATAAGCAAACTAACCGACATCACTAAAACACTTTCTTTGATATTAGTTAATGCACTAAGTATTTAGAATAAATTGATATTAACTAAAATAATGGATGGTTTTATTTATGGCTTTCAACTATGGTTTTTAGAACCGGATCGGTTAGCGAACCGATCATGCTATTGGTTCACTGGTTCAATCGGTCAAACCGGTCCGACCGGTCGAAAGAACCGGACGATGTCATAATTATTTAAAAAATTAAATAAAAATACCAAAAATATTTAATAAAAAATAATTTTTTATATCACAAGTCATATTCAAAACAAGTCATAACATATATAAGTTAAAAACCATAAAATCAAGTGAAACAAAATGATTCAAATTAACTACAACATAATATTTAAGGTAAAACATATTAAATAATAAATATAATTATATAACTATAATTAAAAAATAAATTTGGGGTTAAAAAAATCATAACAAAACGATATTGTTTGGTTTAATTTTTTTTTTTAAAACAATCTCACATGGCTAAGAAACATAGAAGAGCATCACAAATGTCTAAAGAGTAAAAATATGAGAACAAAACAATCTCACATTGCTAAGAAACATAGAAGCGCATCACAAATAACTTCTATAAATAATAGAGGTAATTTGTCATTCAAAATCATGGAGCCTTTTGGTGAGCATTGAGTGAACTATTCTTTCACTTCAATCAAGCTCGAATTTTAGGCTTCAATCGAGCTTCTAATTTTTTTTTGAGTTCAAGTTTCAATATTATATTTCGAGTTTGAGTTGAACTTGATAATTTTTAACTTGTGAGTTTGAGTTGAGTTGAGCTTACTTTTAAAGTTTTCAAGTTCGAGTCGAGCTCAGCAATACTCGAGTTCGACTTGGCTCGTTTAACAAACGACGTTGTTTGGTTTAATTTTTTTTTAAAAAAAAAAAAATCCCGGTTTTTCCCGGTTTTTTCCGATTTTTAGCCGGTCTGGTTCGAACGGTTCATCGGTTCTGACCGATTCACTAATAGCGGTTCAACCGGTTTAGATTGAACCGAACTAAGCAACGATTCTCTGTTGAACCGGTTGAACCGGCCGGTTCGGTCCGGTTTTCAAAACAAAGCTTTCAACTCATAAAGGAAGAATATTACTTACCGTGAACAATAAAAATTAGGGTAAATTACATATTTAGTGCCTAAATTATTATTTTTGTTATGTTTTGATATCCGGACTTTATTTTTTTCATTTAATTTAACTTTCAATTTAGTACCCACTGTTAAAAATTTAATAGAATTGTTGATGTGATATTTTTTTCAAAAAAAAAAATCAATGATGACATGGAATTACCTTATGGTGACATGTCAAGATCATTGTTAAATTTTTAATAGTAGGACACCAAAATGAAACCTAAACTAAACGTAAGGTAAGATTTTGAAAAAATTAACGTTTATGTACCAAAATAGAAAAAAAGTAATGATTTAAGTATTAAACGTGTAATTTATCCTAGAAATTATTATTATTATTATTATTATTATTGATTAATCTAAGGTACTTACAAATGGTGAATCTCTATACTCGAATTTTTTAATCACTCCTAAAACTGATATTTGGTGATCGTTTTTAAAGAAAAATAATTATATTTAAACATATTTTATTATATGGTATGTTTTAATATAATAATAATAATAATAGTATTAATAGAAGTAATATTCAATTGATATTAATTAATATTTAAAATGATTATTTTATATAAAATTATAAAGAAAATGTAAGGCTGCCTAGATAATTGCGCCTACGTCTCTCCAGTGTTGACTTTGGGAGACTGAATTTCCACGAAACATAGAGGGTTTTGACTTCTCTAAAATCTCCAATTTGATATAATATAGTGTGTAAATTGCATATACAAATTTGCCCAAATTAGTCACATGGTGTAACGTGCAGGGAAGTGTAAACCAAATTAAAACTCTAGTTTGATGTGGTTAATATCATGGGTGAAATAAGAAGGGTGTTGGAAATAATCGTATTTTTTAAAAAAAATTAAAATTTTATGTAATTAGATATTTTTTATATTTTCTTTTGATGATTTAATTTTATGTTCGTTAAAATTTTATAAAGTCGTACCTTTAAATTCTAATATACACATTTAACATAAAAGTTTACATCTAATCTTAGTTAGTATAATAATAATTTTAATACTCAAAACTTATTTATTCTATCTATTTTATCTTAATTTGAAACAATTCAATAGATTTAACCATTAGTGTTTAAAATTTTCATCAATTTTTTTGTGGTGATGTTAAACCAAACAAATGCATCAGATCAAAATAGTAATTGAATAATTGTATTCTACTGTAAACCAAGAACAAGTTACTCGTAAACAATAATTATACCAAAAAATAACATAACATTTTTGAGAAAAGAACAGACAATTTAATAAAGAATAAACCGATGAAATTTTTAAATATAAATAATTAAATTTATTAAATTATTTCAGATTAATATCAGATTAATAAAATATATAAATTTTGAGAATTAGAATTATTATTATATCACACTACGCTACTTTCTAATAATTGAATGGTTTGATATATTTGTATTCATATTTAAGGTTTGTTTGTTTAACGGAAAACAAATTCCGTAAAATGAACTACATTTCTCGAAAAACATTTTCTGTAAATCATTTTATCATGTTTGGATGATATTGTGTAATTTATTTTTCATTGGCTGATAATTTTTTTAAAAATTCTTTATTATAAACATAAAATACAATAAATAATATTATTTATTAAAAAATAATAATATTATTTTTTTTAAATATTATAATAATTTATTTAGTATTATTTATATCAATATTATTATTAAAATATTATATATACAATTTTAAATGAAAATACTAAAAATATTATATTTTATTAAAATAAAATTATTATAAATTATATTAATTATTTATTAAAATAAGAATAATATATTATTAACTATATTCATTACTTGTTAAAATAATAATAATATTAAGCTATTAAAAATTAAAATATTAAAATAAAATTATTATATTATATTTTAAGAAGTATATTTTAAATATTTATTAATTCAATAATATTATTTCTATGAAATTAATAAATAATATTAATTTTATTAATAATTTATTAAAATGATATTTTTATTAAAATAATATATTAACATTAAATATATAAAATAATAATATTTCGAGTGTTTATACTTTGAAGTGAAAAGTTCGTAAAAATGACATATGAAAAATCAGACCGTAAGTAATTTTTCAAAAAATACAAAGGAAATTCAATTGACCAGAAAAATGAATTACATTGACTATCTGTTTTCTACTAACCAAATACTGAAAAATAAAAAACATTTTCCGAAAAACCAAATTGTGTCTCATATTTTAATTATCAATATCCTCAAACCCAACTAAGAATTCCAAAATGAAAAATAACAAAAAAAAAATCACTATAATTTTCCAAGTTCAATGGTAAGAATTACAAATTTATAAAGCAAATGAATTCTGAGAACAAAATGTATTGTAGAAATATGGTTAGAAACAATCTTATTTTCGTCGATTTTCATTTACAGAATGTCAATGGCTTCAATGGTTTTGGAAGCTGGGAAATGAATCAAAAGTGAGCGAGTACTAGTGAGGAAAATATTACAACAACAACGTCGATCGAATTTGTACATGTTTTCTTTCTTTCTCCCTGTTCTTAGTCAATGTTTTTACCTTCTTTTTACAACGAATCGGCAGGAGCCGTTGTTGTGACTCCGTTTCCATCGGATTCCCCATCCGTGATCCTCGAAGCCCCGGGTTGATGCTTGCCTTGTTTAGCTTGATGCTGATTGCTGAGACCAGTAAGCATGAGCAGCCAAGACCCTGTCCAAGAGTTCCTGCGGTACCGGCTCCCCTCGTCGTTGCTGTGGGGAAATTCTCGCCGTGTGAACCAACGTTTTCCATTTATCCTGCAGGTGATAACGACACGTTATTAGCAACATTCGATACGATTAAATACCAACAAGTACATTACCTTCCAATCCACGTAAGTTCAAGTACTTTTACCTTCAAATCCACATAAGTTCGATGGTCGGCATTCACGAAAGCTCGCAGTTTAATATCACGCCACCTGCAGAGACACCGAAGAGTTTAATTTTACATACACGACATCTTTATAAGCTGGCTGCATCCTCCTCAATGAGCGAACACATGAAAATGAGTATGTGTATATAACGGTGACACACCTTCCGGTACCCAGCTCCTCGACTGCCTGTACCAAAGCTTCTACTTCTAAGACTGAAAATGGCCTCCTAGATCGACGCTGTGCAAGCTCGGTTTTTCGAACTTTTGGGCTGGCAGGGATGACGGCTAGTGCCTCAACATTCAGTGCTGAAACAGGAACTATAGCTCTGGATTCAGACAGACTTTGATCAGGTAGCTCGTCAGTGTGGGAGGTAACCGGTTCGTGATTAGTATCCACAGGATGTGTCAAATTGGTCAGTAAAAGTGGGTCAGATGCGACATCGGGAATCTCTGTATCTACAACCGGAGTGGCCGGAACGCTGGAAATCAAGCACTTGTCAATCAAACTATCAAACGTATAGGTAATGTATATAAATGAAATGAAGTGATTTAAACCGAAAAAGATTCAACACACCCTATCTCGAAACATCATAAATCACCTTGTTAAATGTTGAGGGGCTTTATCACATGATATCGGAAGGGGCGGTTCTTCTGAGCACACAGGTGGAGGAGCTTTCACAGGACCAGGCTCCAAAGTGAAACCAAGAGAATCCAAATTATCTTCGCAGGAAATACCAGTCTGTGACAGAGTCCGGTTGTCATCTCGTACCTTCTTCCCTTGAAGAAGTACCCCGACACGGATTCCACCTCCGAGTAAAGCAGTCACTGCCTCCATAACAGTTCTCTACTCGTATTTAAGTAACATACGCGGTAGAAAGTGTTAGCAACTATGAAATAATTAAATAAAACTATATTCGTCAAGGAAAAGAACAATAAAACATTTCTATACCTGAAGTGAACCGATGGTTGCACTTTCTGGAACCTCAATATAAAGTTCAGGGATTCTAAAAGACCTGATTCTGAATTTCACTGCACAAGAACAACCTTCGAATAAGACATTCCCCAAAACTAGAATAAACACATCAGTCTGTCAAAAACTATTTGTAAACTAGAATAAACACATCAGTCTGTCAAAAACTATTTGTACCGTGAGACTCCTTGGACTGGTGGGATGCTTTGTTACCTGTAAGCAAGGGGGGTATCCCACATGCTACGGAGCAGAATAAAGTAGTAGTTCAGTAAGACTAATTAATATTCCAATCTCAAAATCCGTAAAGTATAAAATACTAATAAGATAATTGAAGAAGGGAAGCACCTCCATGCGACATTGAGGCAGAACTACCCTTGTCTCCATCCGCAACCTTCTCTGGTAAATTACAAACACTTTCACTACTGATCCCACCATCAGAAGTTACTATCGAGCTACGGTCAAAGAACTTCCTCCTTTTGTAGTGCGTATTGTAATGATATCTGTCGTAATTATAGGTCTTCCGCTTACGGTATGGAGGACTCATTCCACCATCTAGAAATATATGAAACACAGAATCTGTAAAGAAATATTTATGAAGTAAGATGTAAACCATGATATGACTACTACTCACCGGCTTTAGAATGTTCGAAATCCTTCAACTTTGGAGCTACTTTCCAATATTTGGATGTCAGCAACTTCCTTATCCTTCGATCCCCGATACGTGTCAGAGGCCTAGAAGTCTTAAACCTATAGCTAAGTCTAGTAAACCTAGAAAAGTTTTCGTCATCATCTCTACTACCTAACTTAATATCATTCCTATGTCTTGAAAAAGAAGCCTTAGGAATTGGGTCCCTCTGGGAGGGCAATTTGACATCTAGTTTGGAATCAACGGGAAAAGGAAATGTCACAGGCGATTCCACTGGATCTTTCGAGGGGCAAGTATTAGGGATACTCGACTTCCCGATGTCCAAAACCTTAGCATCTCGATCTTGCTTAAACCCATTCTCACTGGTACCATTACATAAATCCCCGAGATCAGGGGAGCATTGATCCATGTCACCACGAAAATTCCCGTATGCTGCATTGCCTTTACGAATTATAGACTTCAAATCGCCACTTATTTGCTCCAAGCAAGCAGGCTGGGTTTTAATCTGAGCACGATCCAAAAAGGCATCATCTCCAGCAGGTTTAAATTCCTTCACATTGTCACTATTTTCGGTAGTCGACTCAGAGGCAGCAGCACTAGCTTCTGATTCTCGGCTTCCTTGCTCATCACTTTCGAGTTTCAACGGTTTATCATCATAGGAATGAATTTCCTGTTTAATGACATCTTTACCAACATGATGGTATCCTTCCGATGCATTGCTCGAAGCCGAACTCTCACTCTCCAGCAACAACTTCCTAGCTAAAGACGCTAACAATTCAAATGCACAAATCTGACTGTCCTCGACTACCTGTTTATTCCGACACCTCTGAAACCGACAACAACATTTTATTCATCAAGTTAGATCAAAATTTAACATGATCAAATCCACCAGATGATGATCCGACAAATTTAGAAGATAAATAAGAAAAAAATGAATGAAACATACCCGATTCGATCGAGGGGCACGGGGCACGTTCGGGACGTTGAAGGTAAATCCATAATCTAACCTTTTCTTAAACACCATATCTAAGGCTAACAGGCATGTATAGTTACAAATTCACTGCATATAAACAAATCTAACATTACGTCAGAATAATTTCATAGATAAACCAAAACAAACCTTATAACTACAAAATAACCCAAAGAAATTTGCTTTATCTATTGAGATCCGACATGGAGATCAGCCATAAACAAGAAAACCCAAAATTTTAAAATTTAAAATTCCAGAAATTAAACAAAATAAAGAGAAAGAAAAAAGGAAATGAACAAACAAATTACAGATACAAAATCCCAGAATTCTGCATCAATAGAAGAAGAATTCAGTTGCGTGACTTCGATAAAAATTGTAAATTTCCACTGTGAAATTCAAGTTGATCGGAAATCTCATAGTCAAACAAGAATTTAAACAATTAAACAAAAAAAGGATCGAATTTATTCTGTTTGTTTTCCTTTCCTTAAATAAGAAATATAAACTAAAATTAAAATCTCATAAACCTCAAAATTCACAAAAAAAAAATCCATTTCTAATCTCCGAACCAAAAAGGAAAATAATCCAGATCAGATCTCGATCCAAATATGGGATCGAAATTCACTAGTTTAAAAGTCAATACGTCTCAAAATTTAGCATAATTCAACAAAAAAAACATGTAAAAATGAAGAAACCGAACAATTCAAAAGCAGAAACAACCGAAAACTTACGATGCAACAAGCTGATAACTCACCTTTTAAACTGAAACGATCTTCAGTTTCTTGAAAACCCAATATACAAATGTACAGCAAACAATTAGAAAATGAAAAATTGCCTGAAAATATTTCTTGAGAAACAAAGATCTTAGAAGCCAAACAAACCCAAATGATATTCAATCAAAACTCATTGAGAAAAAAAGAGAGAATAAATTTCACTTTTTTGTCAATGTTTTTCAGAGATTTGTGAATTGAAGAACAAATATTTATACAAAAACCTTTCAGGAAAATCACTGTATATGAAATTTACAGAAGAGAGAGGGGGAGAAGAATACTTAAACCCCAATATTATCTTTATGAATATTGACCACGAAACCGGACCAGCCCGTGGATTCGAGGGGTTTACCGGTATTAGACGATAATTAAAAACCCCATCTCTCTCTTCCTCGCTGTGAGCCTGTGAGCGGTCTTAACCCCTTCTTTCCAAAAACCAGATAAGTGACGCCACGTGGAAGCACTATGTGCTTCTTAGATTTATTTATTTTTATTATTTATCGGGATAAGGAATTTTTAAATTTTTATTGGGTATTATTTGATGTGAGTGATTTCACTTTTGTTTTTATGAACTCCTTTTCTCTTTGGTTTCCGTTGTCTAATTAATTATGAATTTGATAAACTATTTTACTTCATTTATTTATATGTCACCCAACTTTAAAAAATAGGGGTAAAATACACAAATGATACCTTGACTTATAGGGTATTAATTTAATGAGTCCTCCAACTATTAAAAGCTACAAAATAATCATTTGATTATAGGATGTTATTTTATTAAGTCACTCGACTATTCATATGTTTGAAACTCATCCTTTTTAATAAAAATTTGATGGTCGTCTGAGTTGGACATTAACATACTGATTGAGATATGATAGTCTTTTGAGATTCTAGAATCATATTTTATATTATCACAGTTAACAGGTTAACGTCCAACTCATAATAACGTCAACTTTTAACAGAAATGAACGAGTTTGGACCATATGAATAGTCGAGTGGTCATTTTGTAACTTTTAATAGTCGGAAAACTCAACAAAATAACGCTTTATAATTGGGGTCATTTTGTAGCTTTCAATACTCGAATGACTCAACAAAGTAGTATTCAATAATCGGAGGACAATTTGTGTAATTTACCCAAAAAAATAACACCGGTTAAATTTTACTGACAATATTATGTTTTGGATATTTTTATTTAGTAAATTAATCTATGTCTTACTTTTTTTTCTATGATCGATATTTTTCTATCATAATTTGATTGTCATCTATCATCATTTGTAAGATAATTAACATCAAAATAATTTTTCTTCTTAATTTAGTTTTCTAAATCTTTCAAAATCAACAAAATTCAATTATAGGTCTTGAATTTTATCTCATTTTTATATCCAATCTCCATCATCTTATCACCATGGACTAGAGACTTTCTTAATATTTTTTTCTTTTCGAATTGCATCTATAAATCTATATTTGAGAAGAAAGTCTCTAGGGCTTTTTCTATAAGTTCATCCAAAAAATTTAAGTAATGTTAGACCATTAAGGGTGAGCCAAAAAATGAATTTTGAAAGTAGGGTGAAAAATTAGAAGTTTAAAAAAATTAGTGATCAAAACAAAAAACAAAAAAAAAGTTAAGTGATTAAATACATAATTTACTCTAATTATAATGGTAAAAATTATAATATTATACTAAAATACAATCATTTTCTTTACCTTTAATCCATTAAAGATATGTACTTTGAGTTTGCGAGTGAAAGAATATATAGTTTTTTATAGTGAATATTTCTTTAATTGGTAGGTTTGAGGAGAAAAATAATTATCATTAAAAAATTATATAAAAGGCTTATTTATCAAGTTAAAGTGACCTCATTTACCATCAAATTCGGCGTTATTAGTTTAATAACTCCAAAAAAAAAAAATTGGAACAATATCAATATAAGATTTTTTGGAAAAATATCTTCAAACTGCACATGTAAGACTAACACACGTCTTACAAAAAGTGAGTAAACACATTATATTCTATAGATCATGAGTCTCCTCTAACGTGAAAACATTTTTCAAGAAATGCTATTTAATATTTTAATTAATGATCTCGCGTTATGCATAACACGATGTTCCTCATATATAGACGATTTATCGCGTTCAAAATTTTGAAATTTGAAAATATATTGAACTTTATCTCTTTCTAATATTGAAATTTATGTTATTTTAATTTCTTGTATTATTATTAATTAAGTTTAAATTATTAATACTCGATGTTTAAGTTATCCTTCAACAATATGATAATTAGTTATTTGATTCGATGCATAAATATTTTGGGAACCATTATATTTTTATGAAATGTATTTAAATTCTAATTTATAAACATAACAAAAAAGAACTAAACGATGTTCTGGTTAGTTGAAATGAAAAGAATATGAGTCTACTTCCGTCTCTTTGTAGTCTGTATAAATATTTGATGTTAAGTTAAGTTCCTCAATTATTTGTTCTTTCTCCTGACATTTATGAAAGTAACGTAGCAGAACAACCACTTTGTCCTCTTCGTTTTGTGACAACCGATTTCTTCTACGTTAGTTGATGAAGATGCTTTTTTCCTTAAATGTTACATACAACTCGATGTTCATACTACCGAATACGTGTGTAAGCCCTAAACATCTTCCTAAGGTCGCTTGCATTTGATAAAATCAGCATGAAATATGCTTCAAGGTTGGGCTCATCAATGGGAACTTTTCGCTTGCAAAAAAAATCATATGTCGTATTGTAGATTTTTTAAGCTTCGAAATCAAATCATATAAGTCATTTTTCTTGATCTTGGCATTGAAGGAAGTGTAGAAATAAGTTCCAGAATGGAACACAGTTAAATAAAATCTTGCAATTAATTATATTTTTACGAAACTATCCATCCAACATGCTTACCGTTCATCTTTATAGATTTTTTTTCCAAATCTCGTGTCATACAAAACGTGAGGCCATTTTCTAGAGGTGTTGTCACGTCAGGAATCTCTGCGGACCTTGCTTTATACAAAACGCGAGGTCACTGTCAGGTCAAGAATCTCATTGGTACTACGACGTCAGAAATCCATGCCTAAAAATCTCTGCATATAGACAGAAACGTAAGACCCAACTAAATTTAAAAAGAGGAAATATGAAGAGAATGATACACATAAGTAAACGATAGCAAGCTACGAGAAGGAATAAAGTCAAATGAGTTAAAACCTAAACTAAGGCACACTACTCCGCTACCCTAGTTCTAAGCCTTCATAAATTCCAATGACAGAAACATGTAAAAAGTAGAAGTCATGGAAATTACTACAAATGCATTATAAGAAGACATAGATGATACACCCTATGGATGTGACCCACACTACTCGGCTACCCTGGTCTTAAGTCTCCATACTTTCCTATCAGAGGTCATGTCCTCGGTAAAGGCTAAATCCTTCAAATCAGAATTTCGTGGGCATGATTTTCGAATTTCGTTTTTATGCCCGATTCACTCTCCATCAAACTCGCCAGTCTCTTCAACCTTTAACAACGCGAGTAACCTGGTCTTCTCAAGAAACTTAATTATCATTTCTAAAAAGGCATTATCTTCTTATGGTGTCCTCTTCTTCCATCAAACCGATCGTAGATCCGAAAAACAAATAATTGGATGGACAAGGTTGTTGTTGCAGCCGCGGGCATGATTATTGAAATTCGTTTTTATACCCTATTCACTCTCTATCAAATCTGTCAGTCTCATGAACCTTCTTCAACACGAGTAACCTGACGAGGATTTAGTCGAACATAGAGAAAGAATCAGAGAGCCGAAATTATGCACCACTTTTATAATTAACAAAATATATTTCGTTAGTTTTAAAAAAAAATTATTTCAAACCATTTTGAACGTGATTTTTACACCGCTTATAATGTCTCGTATGTGTCAATATTAGCCTTAATTGAAACATAAGTATCAATACTACATCTCTAATCTTATAAATGATGAAAAGTTTCCAACTAACTTCCCAAAAATACTCCCTGAAGATGCCTATAAAGCCATGTTGACTTCTTCTTCATGTAGAAAACTAACCTTTGGAACTATTTTGAATGCGATTTTTACCCCCTCTTACAATGTCTTGTATGTGACGATTTTACCTTGAATTGAAAGATACATTACAATACTATGTCTCTAATCTTATAAATTACAAAAAATTTCAAATTAACTACACAAAATAACTCCTCAAATATGCCTATCAAACCATTTTAACATTTTCTTCATGCTCAAAACAAGCTTTTGAACTATTTTCAACGTGATTTTTAACCCGCTTACAATATCTCATATGTGTCGATATTAGTCTTAACTGAAAGATAAAACTCAATACTACACCTATAATCTTATAAATTACGAAATTTTTAGAATAACTACTCGAAAATACCCCTCGAACATGTCTATAAACAATTGTGATTTGGGCTGGAAACCTACATACCTCGTATTTTGTATAACGCGAGGCATGTAAAATACCACACGTGATATTTTGCTAGAATGTTTAAATATCTTGGGAACCTCGCATTGCGTAGAACGCAAGATCATCAATTGAAATATTAAAGCATTCCCTGAAAAATGTGTCCACATTGGTGGATACTGCACCTCATAGAAGCGAGGCCTTTGCACATTTTTTGTAAGGCACAAGATAGTCCATTGTGTGCAGTTCAGGGTATTTTTTTTTAAAAAAAAACTTGTTTAGTGGATAATGTTCTAAAAAAATGAATTTTTGGGTTATTAAACTAATAACGTCATAAAATTCCATGCATACGTTGTTCCCATGGTTCGGTAAATTTTTTTCATTCAGTCCTTGAAGTTACAAAATTTTAGTAATAAATGGTAAATTTTCTTTTAGGCCCCCTTAAATTGAAAAAAAAAAATTCCTTAAAAATTATAACCTTTTAGTTAATAAAATGGTAAAACTGTTTTTTAATCCTCCTAAAAATTGCTAATTTAATCTTGACTCCAATAAAAAAATTCTGACTTCACCTCTAGGTGTGCTTTTTGAATTAGAAAATTTGTAAAATTGACACAAGTGTATATAATTCAGTAAGTTACATGAACATACATATAATTTTATATTAAGACGTGTGAACTTTTAAAAAATTATATTAAAAATTT